TGTCCCCAGACTCTGCCCCCTGAGTGAATGAACACTGTATGCTTTGAAGTCTACCACTCTTGACTGGGTCAGAGAAGAAAATGGTCAGTTGCTAAAACAAGAAACTATTGTTTCGCATTCGGTACTTGGCTACCTCCATTTACCAACACCCACTCCTTTGGGAGCACCCAGTGGGATAAGAGTAGGCACTGAAGGTGCAGCACAGGACTGGAGTCTTTCTTCCCACCCAGGTGGGGCAGGGATCTCCCTTGCAGACATCTGTGCCGTGTTGCCCACAGGTTCCTGCTCTGCCTGTGCTCCCACTGCTGAGCATCTTTGTGAATGTTTACTTAATGATGCAGATGACCGCTGGGACCTGGGCCCGATTTGGCATCTGGATGGTGATGGGTAAGTGGCTTTCTGGGGAAAAGAGGCTTCTCAAGGGCTACCACTCAACCCTCTTCCTACTGCCTTTCCCCAAAACTGTCTCAGAGGCCATGGTAGAAGGCCTGTTGGGCACTTCTAAGTGGGCGGAGTGCCTACTTTTCCATCATTTGTCTCATTTCTCTACTAGGATTTGCCATATACTTTGGTTATGGGATCCGACACAGCTTGGAGAAGGACAGTGATCAACAGTTACCTGCCTCAAGCTCCCAAACTCTTGGCAAAAACATCCCTAGTGCTGAATTAGCTTAACCACAGGAAATAGATGCTGTGTGGAATTCCTCTGTACACTGGAGGTATCTTCTGTTTCAAGGGAGACTTTGAGCCTCTATGGAGTGAGCCTCTATGTGTTTAGAGCACTGTATTTATTGCCAGTGGACAAAAATACCCTTAATCATGTTTAATTTTTAAGTAAACTTTTGAAAGCATAAAATAAAAAAAATTGCATACTTCATAAATGTGCAGTGGGATGAATTTTCACAAGGTACCAGCAATGTAACCAGCAACTAGAGGAAGGGTAAAATATTACCTGCTCATAAGAAGTGACTTCTTGTGCCTACTTCCAGCGAAAACACGGATTGCCACATGGGAAGAAAATACAGGTTTCACCTCTGTATTGTATCAATACAGAGGTGAATTTTTTATTTTTTAAATTTAGTTAAAAAAATATTCTCTATCCCCAGCACGGGGCTCAGACTCAAGACTCTGCAATCAAGATTTGTGTGCTCTACCAACTGAGCCAGCCAGGTGCCCCTAAAGAATTGTACATTAAGTTTTAGGGCCCCGGGGTGCCTGGGTGGCTCAGTCATTAAGTGTCTGCCTTTGGCTCAGGTCATGATTGCAGGATCCTAGGATCGAGCCGTGTCCGGCTCCCTGGTCCATGGGAAGCCTGTTCTCCCTCTCTCACTCCCCCTGCTTGTGTTACCTCTCTCGCTGTGTCTCTGTAAAATAAATAAATAAATAAATAAATAAATACATACATACATACATAAATAATAAAAAAAAAAAAATTAGGGCCCTAACAGACTGGAAGCAAAAGGAAGGGAAGAGACACATCTTGCAAGTGTTAACAGGAAGCTGGCATAGCTGTGTTAGTATCAGACAAAGTAGACTAAGAAAGAGTATAATATCACATGAAGTGGATCATTTCAAAATGCCCAAGAGAACTGGTTTATTTTCCTTCCAGCTTTATTGAGATATGACTGACTTATAACCTTGTGTAAGTGATCATCTTTCTTTATGTTTCTGTGGTACTCCTAGAGGGGTTGATGAAGAAAAGTTGTGAGTTGAAGAAAACAGCATTTCCAGAAGTGGGGGCAGTGTGCGAAGTAGTGGTGGTTGATCAGTGGGTGCCGTTGGGTGGAATGAGAAGACAAGACAGCAGAACACAATGCGTGAAACTGAGATTCTAGATGCTTAAGATGTTGGTAATAGTCAAGGACAGGATTGTCTGTGGGGTGAACAACTCAGGGAGAGTGACCATTGCAGGGATGGAGGTCAAAGAAATGGAGTAGCAAAGTCATTCAGTGAGTTTAAAAATGTAGGTGGAGGATTAGCAGCATTAGAAATAGCACCATTCTGCAAGTCCTAGGGAAATGATAGCGCTAGGGTGGCGTTGGTTAATGGAGACAAATTAAGATGAAAGTCTGATGGAAAAAGGTTGATTACCATTGTCACCACTAACATGGGACAACCAGATACATGTGCATCCTAGAGGGCTGCCAAAGGCAACAGTGCTATCCATAAAGTGTTGGTGACAAAAGGAATCAGAACATAATCAAACCACGCAATCTCCCCTCCCCCAACTCTCCAGGGGAAGTCAATGATCAATGTAATTTTCACCAAGGAGACCCTGAGAATAAGAGGAGGTTCTCTGGAAAGGTGATATGTGTAATTGTATAAAAATAATATATTCTTATAAGTGGAAAGGCTGAGTCAGACCATATACACTTAAAAGTTTTGGCAAATTTCGCCAAACTGCAGCAGCAGAGAATAGTGCTGTCCAAACAGACCTAACGAGAGCCACATAGGTAATTTAAGAGTTCTAGTATCACGTTACAAAAAAAAAAAAAAAAAAAAAGGCGGGGCCCCTGGGTGGCTCAGTGGGTTAAAGCCTCTGCCATCGGCTCAGATCATGATCCCAGGGTTCTGGGATCAAGTCCCGCATTGGGCTCTCTGCTCAGCAGGGAGCCTGTTTCCCCCTCTCTCTGTCTGCCTCTCTGCCTACTTGTGATCTCTGTCAAGTAAATAAAATATTTTTTAAAAAAGGCAAAAAACAGGTGAAATTAATTTTAGTAATAGATTTAGCTCAGTATATCCAAAATGTTATTTCAACATGTAATGCATGTAAAAATTATTAACGAACTATTTTACTTTTTTATTTCTGGACAGTCTGCAAATCCTAGTATATATTCTACACTTAGTTTATCACCTAGCCACATTTCAAGAGCCCAATGGTGGTATGAAGCTACTGGCTACCACACTGGATAATGCTGTTCTAGAATTTTCTTCCATGCTCAAATGTTGGTTTAGTGCAGCAGTCAGGTAATCTATATAGTCCATGGCCCAAATACTGCTTGTGGGCCTATTTTTGTATGGTCTAGAGACTAAGAGTACTTTTTATTTTTAAAAGCTTGTTAAAAAAAAAAAAAAAAGAGGAAGAGCACATGTGGCCTGCAAAGCCTGAAGTATTTACTATTTGGTTCTTGGTAGACAAAGCTTGGCAACCTTGGGTTTGAAGGAACAGAAGGTGTTCAGGTGTGTTCGTGCGTGTGCTGTGTTGATGAGCTCAGATTGACCTTGGGTTTGGAGGCCCTTCACTTTAGCCACCTATGCCTAGAAGAGATTAGAAGCATCGCTTTTCTTCGGATAATTACTTTATTAGTTTCTTCTCTTAGCCTGGTCAAAGCCTCGTCAATTTTGCTGATTTTTTTTTTCAAAGAATCAATTTTTTATTCCGTTAATTCTTTGTACCTCTTTTATTTATTTTTTAAAGCAGGCTCCATACCCACGGGCATGAAGCCCAACAGGGGCTGAACTCACAACCCTGAGATCAAGACGTGAGCTCAGATCGAGAGTCGGACGCTTAACCAGCTGAGCCACCCAGGTGCCCCTTTGTGCCATTTTTCTATTCTCCATTTCATTTTTCCTCCACTCCAGTCCCTGCTATTTTCTTCCTTCTGCTAGCTTTGTGTTTAGTTTGCTCTTTTCCTGGTTTCCTATCTTTTCAAACACAGGTGTTTACTGATCTAAGTGTCCTTCTCAGCACTGCTTCCACAGCATCCCACTTATCTTTTGATTTCACTCCCGTTTTCTAGTTTCCTCGTGAGCTCTTCTTTGACCTGTTTGTTGTAGTGTGGTTTAATCTCCACATAGCATTTTCTTCTCTTTCTGTTGATTTCTCATTTGATTTCCCTTGTGGTTGGACAAGATGCTAGGATGCCCTACTTTTCAGTTTGTTGAGACTTGCTTTGTGGCCTAACATGATCTATCCTGGAGAAGGTTCTGTGTGTATTCTGTTGCTGGTGGTGCTGTGTCTGTTAGGTCTACTTGAGTCTGTAGGGTGGTCTTTTATTTATTTTTTGTTATTTTTGTATTTTTATTTTTTAAAAGATTTTATTTATTTACGACAGAGAGATAGTGAGAGAGGGAACACAAGCACAGGGGAGCTGGAGAGGGAGAAGCAGTCTCCTTATTTTTAAATAGACTTATTTATTTATGTGAGAGTGTGTGAGCAAGGGGAGGTGCAGAGGGAGTTTTAAAGGATTTATTTTAGGGAGAGATGGGGAGGTGGGGGGGAGGGCATGCATGTGAGTGGATGAACGAGGGAGGGCAAAGGGAGAGAGAGAATCCTTAAGCAGACCCCTTGCTCAGCGTGGAGCCAAAATCAGTTGTTGGATGCGTAACTGACTGAGCCACCCAGGTGCCGGTCTTCTATTTTTTCAAATCAATCTCTCATCCAGATGTTCTAACTATGGTTGAAAGTGGGGGTACTGAAATTTTTAACTATGACTGTAGAACTGTTTCTTTGGTGATCAACATTCATTTCACGTATTTTGAGGTTCCTTTGATGTGTATATAGTTGGTATATGAACTCAGTATATTAATATACAATATCCTTTGTTTCCTGTAGAAGTTTTAGACCTGAGGCCTGTTTTGTCTGATTAATGTAGCCACTCCAGCTATCTAGGGATGAGGAATTCATACTTACAAAGATATTTTCTTAGTGATTACCATGGTAATTATAACTGACATCTTATGTTTGTAACAATCTAGTTTGATTAGATTACTAGAGTCAGTAACAGAGACACTGTGCTCCCACTTAGCTCTTACCCAATGCCTGCTTACCATGGTCAGTTACAGCTTCAGACATGTAGTGCCCATTAACACAGACTCATCATTTCTTATGCATTTATCCTTTAAATCACGTAGGAAATAAGAGGGATTACAAACAAAAGGAGTATCAGTCCCTGTGTTTTATATCTACCTGTGTACTTACTGTTTCTTTATATGCCTTCAAATTATGGTTGAAGGTCCTTTCGTTTCAGCCTGAAGGACTACCCTTCAGTATTTCTTTCTTTTTTTTTTTTTTTGTACACATTTAGTTTTATTGTAACAAAGCAACTTGTACACTTTTAACGTTTAAAACTGAGCATCATCTTTCCTTTCCAGTGAAACAAAAAGAAAATTTAAAAATAAACAGGAACAAAATTACAATAGAGAATGTCAATTCCAAATAAGATCCTACAAGTTCTGCTGATTCTCCCATCGAGTGGCAGGGCTCAAGTCATCATTAGGAGAGAGTTTTATTTTAAAAGTGTCATCTTAAACTGCAAGGATGTCCGTTAAACATCACAATTAAACATGCCAAAGGAGAAGCCATGTTGTCAAAATGCCCACTTAACCCACCCAAACATCTCAAACCCACCCTTTGCTGACCTTCTATAACCCCATTTTTTTAAGTTTTTTTTTCTTTTTTTTTAAACAAGAGAAAGTAGACAGGTACATGTTGGTAAATGCTAACTGTCCATATTCACATAGAGACACAGTGTAATCTCTGAGCCCAATATACAGAGAAAGGAGGAAAAAAGCTAGAATTCTATGCACTACTACACAGGGGCCTAGCACCCTCCAGCTTCCAGCAGAGCTAAGGGAGCAGAAGGTTTTTCTTTTTTCCCCACAGAGCACGGTGGTGTTGATTCCATAAAGTTTTTGTTTTTGTTGAGACAGGAAGGGACAAAAATGAATTTGGAACAAAAAGGGGTAGAGATTCTTTTCCCACTGTATTCTGCTCAAGGTATTTCCCCCCAAAATAAGCTGAGAACCATGGTATAAAGGGAGAGAAAAAGGAGACTTCAAAAAACAGGGCGAATGAGCACGAGAGGAGAAAAGAAAAAGAAAAAGGAAAAAAAAAAAAAAAAAGACGGCAACTTGCTCCCAGGGACTGAAGAAAATTAAAAAAGGAAGGTTGGAATCCATCAGTGTTCCATTAGTCATCTTCTCCTTCATCCTCCTCTCCTTCCTCCCCCTCATCATCATCTTCATCTTCTTCACCTTCATCCTCATCTCCTTCTTCATCAATATCTTCCAATCCTTCTTCTTCTTCATCATCATCATCATCCTCTTCTCCTTCCCCTTCTTCGTCATCCATATCGGGAACCAAGTAGTACTGTAATGGATTTGGCCAAATATCATCTTTGATGACCTCTCCTAACTCATCAGCACCTGCATCAGAATGGTCCGTAAACCAGGTGAAGAAGCTCTCTGGTTCCTCATGCTGTCTCTTCCTGCTGGCTTTATTCTGTGTTTGACTTGAACGTTTCGTCAAATCCTTTCCAGATTTCCATTTGATTTCAGTGGACTTTGAAGATGGATCACCACTCTCATTCAGATGAAATTCTTTGGAGAGAACTTTATTTTCGAAGTAAGGGTTTTCATCAAAATAAAAATCTATTCTGTAACCTGATTTAATATCTTCAAATTCTGTCACTTCAACTCTTGTCAAATAATGCAGCGCCTCTTCATCCTCCTCCCCAAGCAGTGCAGACACTTGTGGATGGTTGACAAATGTTGTTACCCAAAAATTGGGGATTTTGGCGATCAATTCCGACCTCTTCTGAAAAAATGGTTGGCGGAGTTTGTTATATTTCTGTTCTACTTTCAAAATCTCCTCACTGGCTTGTTCATTAAGTCTGTCTATTTCATTTTGTACTTCATCAATATGTTCAATTGCTTCTTGCTGTTCTTTTTCTCCCTTATGCAAGTGCTGAGATGTTGACGTCTGCCCTGGCTTGGAGGCAGGAGGCAGTCTCGGTTTCTTCGTTTGAGGCGGGAGCAAAGACTGGCGTTTGGGGGCCATGCTGCGAGGAAACCCCAGGAAACCGGGAGAGAGGCACGTCTGGAAGCTCTGATTGCTCCCCTTCAGTATTTCTTATAGGGCAGATCTGTTAGCAAGCAAACTCCTTTTCCTTTTGTCTTAATTTTTTTTTTTAAAGATTTTATTTACTTGACACAGAGAGAGAGATCACAAGCAGGCAGAAAGGCAGGCAGAGGGAGAGGGGGAAGAAGGATCCCTGCTGAGCAGAGAGCCTGATGGAGGACTTGATCCCAGGACCCTGGGACCATGACCTGAGCCAAAGGCAGGGGTTTAACCCACTGAGCCACCCAGGTGCCCCTCTCTCTTGTTTTTGAAGGACACTTTTGAGAGATAAAGAATTCTTGGTTGGCAGCCTTTTCTTTCAGCACCTTGTATCATTCCTCCCTGCCATGAGACCTCATGAAGTCTTGCAGTCCCTTTTAGACATATCCTTAACGATAAAGTATGTCTTATACTCATATAGAAGAGAATCAGCAATTAATGCATTATTGAGGCTCAACAAAATTCATTTGTGAAACAAACATTTCTTGATTGCCTACAATGTATATGGTGCTCACTGTTCAAAGGGGTAAGGAGTCAGAGGTGAACAAGCCAAGACAGGTCACAGGATTCAAGAACTCACACTCTAATGGAGAACGCAGACAATAAACTACTGAACCAGTAGAAACTTGTTTTGGATATGCACCAGAAGCAAAGGAATAGTGATGTGACGAGAGAGCTGCATCAAGATGCCTTAAACCTCAGTCTTTCAACAACTGAGCCTGAAGCAAGGATTATGTATTGACACTTTGATATGCAGCAAGAAAAAAACTTGCCAGAACTCTGATGCCAGAGTGGCAACTGCTGGGAGACTGCACTCTTCAAAACTAGATTAAGAAAAGAGTCCAAAGAAAGCAGAGTTTGAAGGTTTTCAATGTTGAAATTGTGGAACAAATGGGGGGCTTTGTTGTAAAGGAAACGGAAATCCTCAAATGTAGAGGATGAAATACTGAGATGGGACTGGCTCCCAGGCCAAAAATGGAAACCTTTGTTGACTAGCACAATACTGGGAACTTTGGTGATTTTCAGGTAAGCAGTGCTAGCACTAGAAAAAAGAATCTGAACTGAGTGCAGGACGTGGCAAACAAAGTAATACAGTGTGTGCTGGAGGCCCATAAAAAGGGCCACTTTCAGACGGACGCATCAGAAGTATAAAATAGGGTGTTAGAAAATTAGACAGGGCATTCATACAGCATATGCTTCTCACCCTTAATGGGTTAGTGGAGTACAGGAATGTTCTGTGTAAATTGGAAGATGCAATTTTATGACGAACTCTGGAGCACCCGTAAACAGAAAAGGAGGCCAGGCCAAGGGTGCACCATGTGACTAACGACTTAAACTCTTGGCTTTTATGGATCTCCTTCCATCTCCAATCCAGGATTGTACTGCTCTGTAAGGGGGATTTTAAAAATGAAGAGGGACAGAAGAGCTGAGATGCTGCCTCCACTTCCTGCCCCTACACAGACCAGCAAAGGGGCTGTCAGCCTCTTCTGAATCCATGCCCTCATCTAGTTGCAGGAACATTCTGATTCCTGGCCTGGTGTGGACAGCTGCTGATTCTGGTGTCCGGTATCTGGCTGACGTACGTGAGGGCTCCTGGCGTTAGGTTTCCCAGCCCCACCCTGTGTCTGTAAGCTTTAGGTGAGCTCCAGGGTGGTTATAAGGCTTGGGTGGCAATTGAGATGTTTCCAATCCATCCTGCCATGGGCAGTTTCCAGGATAGACTCATGAACTAGTCAGTCAGCGAGACTCCATTCTGCAAAACGTGTGGAAGGGTTTGGGAAACTTTCTCTTGGTATTAGGAGTCCTAAGAATGATGGACCTGGCATGGTCAGGACCACCGTGTGCAGCGTCAGCAGAAAAGCTACCCTAGGAAAGCAGAGCACAAACTCAAGGCAGGTATCTTGAGGTGTCGTGTAGAGGCTGTATCACGGTGACTCCTCTGCACAAGCCAATATTTTTTCTCCCCACCCTACTCCCTTTGGCTACCTCCAATTCGGTTTTTGTTCCTTGAACTAGGAGTCTTGATGGACATATAATCTTCTGGTTTCCTTCTGTGGATCACCCTTGTGTGTCCAGACAGTGTCCTGCATCTCCCCTGGGGCTTCCAGTTTGTCGGTGTTATCTCCACTGTGACCCTCCTGTTCCTCCTCTTTATGGCCCCCCACGCTACCCTTCCAATTCTATCCCCTCATGTCCTTCCCCCACCATACTCCTCTCCTTACCCCTCTACCTCCTCCATTTATTCAGGACAGTACCCACCCACACCTGTAGTCTATGGATACTGGCACCCCAACCTGGGGCAAACCACACATAAGCCCTATTTGGACCCCAGACTCTGGATCTCTTGTTGACCTCTGTGAGCCACTCCTCTGTGCTCTAACCACACAGCCAGCATGGTGCCAAGGCTCTCCTTAGGTCTCCCAGGCCACACTCATGAGCATTCAAGTCTTCCAGCTCTCGAAGGCTACCCTGGACTCTCCTTGAGTCTCCCAGGACCTGAGCACTAGCCATTCCTCCCCCCGAACCAGGCCCTTCCACCCGCTCCCTGCTTCTCAACTCACTCCTGTGGGCTCTAGTTCTTTCCACTAAAAGGACCCACACCCTTTTCTCCAGGGCTGACAACTTCAGATGGCTTAGGCCCATCCTGAGTCTAACAGCTCCCTCAACTCTTCCAGGACTGGATCCTGGGCCCTGGCCCCTCCCACAGGACACATTCACTTGCCCTCCTCAAGCATCACCACTTTGCCCCTGCTGCAGGACCTCCAGGATCTGGTGGAGGTCCCGAGTACCAGTCCCATTCCTTCCTGAACAGATCGCATGTGACCACCCAACAAAGTGCCAGGCTCATTCGTGATTTTAATGTTAGCTATCCTAGTGAGTATCTAGTGAAACTGCATGGTGGCTTTACTTTGCATTTCCTTGATGAAAAATGAAGTTGAGCCCATTTTCACTTGCTCACTGACCATTTGGCCAACTTCTCTTGAAAGTGGTTATTTAAGTCCCCTCACCCCTTTAAAACGGACTTTTTACTGACTCGGAGGATTCTGTGTTCTATGTGCGTCCTCTGTCAGGTGCATGGAGAATAATTATTACTTTGCCCAGTATGCCTCTGGCTTTTTTCAGTCTTTGAGGTGTCACTCGATGAACAGAACTTTGTACTTTCGATGAAGTCCAATGTATAAACTTTTTATGTTTAGCATCTTCCATGTACTAAGAAACACCGTCCACCCGAGGCTGTGACAGTAATCTCCCGTATTTCCTTCTACAAGTTGGCCCGTCTTTTCTAAATTCTTGTGCCCACGGGGGGTGTTCCTGTAGGAGTTCACTAAGAGTAACACTAACGGTGATGATGGTAAGAACAACAGCTAATATTTATTGAGCTTACACAGTGTTCCAGATACACCGTCAGAGTTTACATGTACCAAACTCAGTCACCACAACAGCAGTATTAGGCAGGCGTGATTGTCCCCATCTCACACACAACGCACAGGGGTAACAAGGTCATTTTTCCAGTGTGTCACAGGAGTAAAGGGGTGGGATGGTGATGGTAACAGGGAGGGTGTGTACCATGGCGGGACGCTCTCCCACATGGGTTACATTAGCAGAGTTATTCCCTAGAACAAATCTGAGATAGAGCTTGAATGGTGGAGGGAGGCTTCTATCCACCCATGAAACCAATTCAGCAAGACAAAAAAACCCACAAAAAACAAGTCTACACTTAGTGTGTTGTGATTATGAAGAAGTGATTTCTCCATTCTCCAAAGTTGCCTTGAGAATGACTATTCTGAGATGCTATAAGCAGGAGAGTGACCAGTGAAGGCTATCCCATGCTAAACTGTATCATGGATTTTCCTTGTGCTGTGGAAGGAAGGAATGCTGTATAGAAGCTTCTGTCCTTTCTTTTTGTTCAAAAGGTTTATCAGCAGCATGAACACTGATGTTCTCTAAGATGGTTCACGTGGTTACATGCTTCCCACATTCCTTACACTCAAAAGGACTTCTCACCAGTGTGAATTTTCTGATGCTGTGTAAGTTGATGGCCATGACTAAAGGCCTTCCCACACTCTTTACATTCATAGGGTTTTTCCCCTGTATGAATCCTCTCATGTTTAACGAGGCTTGACCCATAGATGAAGGCCTTCCCACACTCCTTACACTTGTAAGGCGTCTCACCCGTGTGGATTCTCTCGTGCTGGGTGAGGTGGTAGCCACAATTAAAGGCCTTCCCACATTCTGTGCATTTATATGGCTTCTCACCAGTATGAATTCTCTCATGTTTAACAAGGCTCGAACCCCAGCGAAAGGCCTTCCCACACTCCTTACACTCGTGAGGTTTCTCACCCGTGTGGATTTTCTGATGCTGGGTGAGATAATTGACTCGAGTGAAGGCCTTCCCACATTCCTGGCATTCGTAGGGCTTCTCACCAGTATGAATTCTCTTGTGCTGAACGAGGCTCGAGCCACAGATAAAGGCCTTCCCACAGTCCTTGCATTCATAGGGTTTTTCGCCACTATGAATTCTCTTGTGCTGAATTAGCTTATACACACGGCTAAAGGTCTTGCCGCAGTCTTTGCATTCATAGTCTTTCTCCCCAGTGTGAAATCTCTGGTGCTGAGTGAGCTCGTCACCACGTCTAAAGGCTTTCCCGCAGTCCTTACATTCATAGGGTTTCTCTCCCGTATGGATTCTCTTATGAATGACGAGGCTTGAACCCCATCTAAAGGCTTTCCCACAGTCCTTACATTCATAGGGTTTCTCACCCGTGTGGATTTTCTGATGCTGAGTGAGCTGGTTACCCCAACGAAAGGCCTTTTTACAGTCCTTACATTCATAGGGCTTCTCACCCGTATGGATTTTCTGATGCTGAGTGAGCTGGTAGCCACGACTAAAGGCCTTCCCACATTCCTTACATTCATAGGAATTCTCCCTAGTATTAAGTCTCTGATGTGGTCTAACAGAGGTATTTTCTCTACAAGTAGGCGTTTTCTCACAGTTGATTATCATTTGATTGAAACAGCCCTCTTGAGGGCCCCGTGGTCCTTCACACTCACCTTCACACATCCAGTCAAGGCCAAGGGATTTACTTTTTCCATTTGAGCTCCACTTGGATAAATTTATTTCATAAAGGCCCTTTTCTGTAGGCAAACTCTTGGTCCCATATGGTGACTCTAAATCTGGAAAAAATTAACAGTTTGTTTCATTTTAAGGAAAATTAAAACGCAAATAAACCTAACCACAAACCAAAAACTTCTCTGACAGAAAGAAAACTTCTCTAGGAGAACAAACACGAGTCACCTAGGGCTCTCGTTAAATGGACGGCTCCACTGTACGTAATGAGGAAACATCGCAAACGCTCCTGCTGAAGTCAGACAAGGAAGAGGAACCGCCTCTTAGCCCTCCTATTTCCTATCAACTGCCATGAGTAAGCAAAAAGCAATCGGAGGGGCAGATCTCAAAAACAGAACACCATGTGCGGATGATGTGATGACGTACCTGGACAAACCCAGGAAAATCAAATATAGAACTAATGTGAAAAACAAGAAAATAACCTGGGTATAAAACTAACATTCTGAAGTTAATGTACCTGTCAGTCATATAATGAAAACGATTCTGGACAAGAAGACCCACCATCAAAAGCAATAAAAGGGACACTGTAGGAGTAACTGTGACAAACATGGTCAACGCCTGTGAGGGAATGTTTTGGGGGATGTGACCGTCAATGGGGACACTAACCCCACCAGGCTGCAAAACCCAGAACGCACTTAAGTGCATGACTTCATAACGGTGCCAGAAAGCATCAGATGATCAGCTTTGGGGGATGCGAGCCAACCAGCCCTTCATTATAAGAACTAACAGTTTTTCCTTTAAAAACAACGTTTTTCAAAGAACAAATAATCCAATCAAGAAATGGGCAGAAGACATAAACAGACATTTCTGCAAAGAAGACATCCAGATGGCCAACAGACACATGAAAAAATGTTCCATATCACTCGGCATCAGGGAAATACAAATCAAAACCACAATGAGATACCACCTCACACTAGTCAGAATGGCTAAAATTAACAAGTCAGGAAATGACAGATGTTGGCGAGGATGCGGAGAAAGGGGAACCCTCCTACACTGTTGGTGGGAATGCAAGCTGGTGCAACCACTCTGGAAAACAGCATGGAGGTTCCTCAAAATGTTGAAAATAGAACTACCCTATGACCCAGCAATTGCCCTGCTGGGTATTTACCCTAAGGATACAAACGTAGTGATCCAAAGGGGCACGTGCACCCGAATGTTTATAGCAGCAATGTCTACAATAGCCAAACTATGGAAAGAACCTAGATGTCCATCAACAGACAAATGGATAAAGAAAATGTGGTATATATACACAATGGAATACTATGCAGCCATCAAAAGAAATGAAATCTTGCCATTTGCGACGACGTGGATGGAACTAGAGGGTATCATGCTTAGCGAAATAAGTCAATCGGAGAAAGACAACTATCATATGATCTCCCTGATATGAGGGAGAGGAGATGCAACATGGGGGGTTAAGGGGGTAGGAGAAGAGTAAATGAAGCAAGATGGGATTGGGAGGGAGATAAACCATAAGTGACTCTTAATCTCACAAAACAAACTGAGGGTTGCTGGGGGGAGGGGGGTTGGGGGAGGTGGGGTTATTATGGACATTGGGGAGGGTATGTGCTATGATGAGTGCGGGGAAGTGTGTAAACCTGGCGATTCACAGACCTGTACCCCTGGGGAAAAAAAATATATGTTTATAAAAATAAAATTAAAACAAAACAAAAAAAACAAATAAAATCTTTAAAAAAAAACAAAAAAACAAAAAAACACAACGTTTTTATCCGTTATGAACAGTGTCACTACATAACCAAGTAGCAGATACAGCACAGTTCCCTGTTAAGAACTGGGAGTGCAAACAAACAAAGCAGTAACAGAAGGTCGCACGGTGCCTGCCCGCTGAGCTGTGGGTCCGCGCACTGGGTGTCGGTGAGGGCTAACCGCACAGAAGAACCATACTGGATGACGCCCTGTGACGTCAGAACGTTAACAGCATCCAGGAAGGAGCATTAGCGAACATTAGAGAAAAGGAAAAGAGCACTCAAAGCTAGGATACCAACCACCTTGCAGGAGCTGCGAAGGGCACGGGGTCATGTGGTCTGCACCCCTGCTACTCAAGGCGTGGCCCACGGACCAGCAGCATCAGCAACATGGGAAGCAGGAGTAGGCGAGAAGCAAACCAGTAAGAGGGGAATGGGACGAAGATCAGGTTCATGGTGGTGACTTCTTCCCCAGAGGCCATCCCTGGCCTTCATAGGGAGCTTTCCAAATGCCCCAGGGGTACACCCGTTCCTGCCTCACTGAGCTGTTTACTGCAGCGATGGCTTGTCCCAGCCAGCCCAGCTGTCATTCTCCTCGGCACTGTGCTCCCTCTCAGCCATCAAGGCTCTTTCCCTTGTTCCCCAACACAGCAAGTCACATCTGGCTTAGAAATGAAAGGTCCTGCTTTCACAAAAAGAAATGTCACATGGTGTAGAATTTAAGAAAAAAATTATATGCTCAAAAGTTCTTTGGAGGGACGCCTGGGTAGCTCAGAGGGTTAAGCATCTGCCTTCGGCTCAGGCTGTGATTTCCAGATCTTAGGATCAAGTCCTGCCTCTGGGGCTCTCTGCTCAGCAGGGAGCCTGCCTCTCCCTCTGCCTGCCACTCCGCCCCCACCCCGACTCATGCTCTCTCTCTCTCAAATGAATAAATGAAACCTTAAAAACAAAACAAAACAAAAAAACACAAAAAAACCTTTGATGGAGACTTCGGAATTTACGTCAAGCGGGAAGTCAAAATGATGAGAATGCATTAAAGAGAAGGGATTAAAGAACAGGCAACCAGAGAGGAAAGGTCTTATTTCAAATTCCGAGGGTCTTACCTGTGGAGGCAGTACAAGAGGGGAGGTGACAGTGTGGATTCTTGGTTATGCCTCCCCTGTCTGATCAAGTCACTCCGTGTCTGAGTAAACTCACCCGCAAGTTCGACACAGCGATCGTGCCTACCCCACAAACTCGTGGGACTGAGGCCAAGTGTAGCGATCAGCCATTACTATTACGGCTGTTACCTCTCTAATAGAAAAACAAGACAGAGCCCGAGATGTTTACAAGACGTTTCCTCCAACATGTAACTCAGAATTCGGGAATCGTAACTTTCCGCCTCACTTCGGGTACAAAGCACAGCCCCTGGAAACACCGCTTCGCTCCACTTCCAACACAGGCTGGCTTACTAGAGGAAGTCAAGCTCCCTGAGGTGGCTCCCGAGCGCCACAGGCCACCAGCAGCCGTCTGGGCACGAACACACCAACCCGGTGTGCAGCTCAACTCTGGAGACGGTTGCGAAATAAACAGCCCAGAACTGGAATTCGCCCTCTGGTCACTGAGGAGGAGAGGGGCTCGGAGGAAGGGCCCGGCCAAGGTGGAAGGGGGTGAGGAGATGGGGGTGCACGACGCCCCTTTTAGATGAGACAAGGCTCGAGACACTTTTTGAGACGAGGAAGAAATTCAGCCCATTCTTGGAAGTCAGTCCTGACACTCGCCGTGGAGGGAGCGGACGTCCCAGTGGACCCGCAACTCACCCAGGGAGACCAGGTTGCTGTAGTTCTCCAACATCACGTCCCAGTACAGGTCCCTCTGCGAGGAGTCCAGGCACGCCCACTCCTCCTGAGAGAAGTTGATGGCTACGTCTGAGAATGTCACCAAACCCTGAAAACACAAACCCGCACGCCCCTGAGAAGGACGGCACAGAGAGGGCTCTGCTCTGGGTTGGGCTGGACACAGCAGCGGACCACAGGCCTGCGAGGTATACAGGGCACAGTGGGGACTGGGACGGAGCAGAGCCCCTAATGCTCCCGAAGAGCCCACTGCCGCAGAGAAAGCGCGCACCCTGCGCAACACCTCATCACCCCAAGCCGTCGGGAGGCGCGAACCCATCCCGGGCTGCTCCTGTTCACAAGCACGGGGCCCGCTGCGGGCCTGCCTCGTCCCGTCTCGGCAAGCGTGGACGCCTGCGGCACCCTTTCCACCCTCCCAGGGAAAGAAAAGGTCTAGGCTTTTGTTTCTGAAGTGTGAAGTGAGAGCTTTTATTTTTGAAACGAGGGTTTATGTGTCTGAGTATTCTCAGCCTCGAGGTCATCATTTTGCCAAGGTTTTAAGCATTCTTCCTACGTGACGACAAAAGCATTTTCTTATTCCATCGCAGGGATGCACTGGACTTAATTCTTACAGTTGTACACTTAGGTACAACCAAACGCCTAAGGCTTTCCCCCATTCTGGGGGTATATGATCACCCGCGACTTCTGCACTGGGTGGCCGTGACAACCCACCACACCCCGGGCTTTTCTCTGCTCCCGACTGAGGGGACTGCTGTCAGACGCTGTGGACGCTCGCCGCTGTGCAGGCTGTGCTCAGCAGGCGCCCTTCATATCCCCTGGCAACCTCGCGGCCTCTCAGCGCTCGGGCCCCCATCACAGTGCAAGCCAATCCCAAGAGCCTCACGGAGCTCTAGCTCTCACCACCACTGACCCGGAGAGCCCCTAATGCTCCCGAAGAGCCCACTGCCGCCCCCCGCCCCGCCCTCCGCCGGGGAAAAACGCCGGTGGAGAACGGCAGGGAGTTTTAGTCTTTTCAGGCGGTCAAATGGGAGCAGCATCTGCAACTCATAAACCACACCCATGACTCGTACTTCTCTCAAGGGACTCTCCTCCCCTCCTGTTCCCGCATTCCTCTTGCTGGCAAGGTGAGCACAGAGGAGACACGGAATGCCCAGCTCAGCGGTGAAGTGAGCATTAGTCACACAGGTGGGCAGGGGCTGTACGGCACTGCCGTTCGCTAGAATAGGAAGAACCTGGCAGTGGGTCATCACGTGGGCCTGGGATGGGCAGGGGCTTCAGGATAATTAGAACAGCCACGGGACCTAAATGCAAGAAGGAAAGAAATATATACTCACGTGCGCCATAGTTCTAGAATCAACTGATCTGTCCTCTTGGGGTTTCTTTTATCAAAGACACAAAATCCAGAGAAGCCAGAGATAGACGAGAAAAAAACAGGCATTAAAATAAGTGCACCTTGGTCCCCAAATGACTTAATACGAGCTTATTGGTCCTCCATCTTTGCTTCCAAGCCCCCAAACCCCGGCTGTTTCCTCCCCCATAGACACACACATCAACACGATGAATCCAGAAAGGATGAAGAGGGATGTGAACAAAACGGAAAAATAACCTTCCCGAAGCCCTATAAAACCCAGCTGTGCACACAGAACAGTTTTTGTTTGTGCCTTGAAGTCATACCTACTTTTATCTGTTGTTTCTCAATGTAACTTAAAAACAATTTTTTTTTGAAGTATGCTCTACTGCCCACATGGGGGCTTGAACTCATGACCCTAAGATTGAGAGTTGCATTCTCCACTGAATGAGCCAGCCAGGCACCCCTCAACATAGTTTTTTTTACCTGAACTATGATGACACACGATGTTAGTTAGTGTCAGGTGTACAACACGGCGATTCCACAAACCTGTACGTTATACTGTACATGCCACAGGCGTAGCTGCCTTCCGTCACCACACGTCACCATGGACTATGTTCCCTATGCGGTGACTTCCCTCCCCAGGACTCACTCCGTAACTGGAAGCCTGGGTCTCCTGCTCCCCTTCACCCATTTTGGCCCCCTGCCCTCTGGAAACTATGTTTATCTGTTTTCCGGATTTATGGGTTTGTTTTTGTTTTCGTTTGTTCGTATGATTTATTGTTTGGATGCCACGTAGAAGTGAAGTCATAGGGTTTTTACCTTTCTCTTTTCACTGAGCATCATACTCTCTAGGTGCATCCCTCTTGTTGCAAATGGCAAGATCTCATTCCTTTTTGTTTCTCGTCCCCTACTTCTAAGAGGTAATCTACATTACACCTGATAGGAAGGTCTTGGTTTTGGGTGCAGCTGGCCATCCCCGGCCAGTCGTAGGGCGGGAACCGACTGCACCAAGAAGAGCCACCAGGACACTCAGGGCGGTGCTTTGGCTCGCGCGCTATCAACGGGCCTGGGAACGGAGACGGACACGCACACGAGTCAGCCACGTGTGGGTGATCGACCAGTGAACTGTGCCCAAGTGCTGAAGCCCCAGCGGAAACTCTGCGTCGTGAAGCTCGGTGACCTTCCCCGGCTGGCAGTCCTCTATGCATACTGTCCTGCATCGATGCCGACAGAGCACCGTCCCAACTCCAGTGGGAGAGGACACTGGAAGCTCCGTGCTGGGGACACTCCGGGACCTGAGCTTACGGCCTTGTTTCCCTGGCTGGGGCGAATCTATATCCTCTCCCTGTATTTACTGGGAACTCTGAGTAGAACGGCTCTCAGGGGAGTTCTAGCAATCCTTCTAGTCCTAGAGATACAAAACAGAAACCGAGAAACAGCAAAAAAAAGGCCTGGGAAGGTCACGATCCCTTGTGCAGAAAGAGTAACGAGCAGTAAACTGCTTGCGAGACTGGCCCATGACAGGACCTCCAGAGGGGCCCTGTGGTTCCCTGACTGACAGGAGTGGCTCACGGCTCTTCAGCTGTTTGTATGAATGATGTGGTTTATCCTGCTGAGCCTGTGCTTTCCTCTGGGAGTCTGGAACTTTGGTATGTGCCAGAGAGAGGGTCCCCTGTGACTGATAAAAACCCTGGCCTTCCCCGCCCACGAGCTTCCCCGGTGGACAAGGCTTCACTGGTGTCGCTGTAACTTGCTGCTGGAGTGATTATGCGTGTCCTACGTGCCTGCACTGGGAGAGCGCTCTGGGAAGTGTGTGCCTGGTTTCCTTCTGGTGTCGTCTGTCCCACACACCTGTCCCTCTGCTGATGGTGCTGTGTATCCTTTCATTGCATAAATCCTGGCCTTGGACAGGACTACGTGTTGAATCCTGTGAGTCCACCCAGAGAACCACAGAACCTGGTGGTGGTCCTGGTGACACCCGGACACACCCTTTGACCTTGCTTTTCTTCTTTTTAAGTACACCTCACGGGGTGTCTAAGAGGAGCAAGGCATTGGCCTGACGTGTGTATGTGTGTGCGTTTCTTTTTAATTCATGAAACGACAGACTCTCAGAGAAACTTCTTTTTAAACAGTTTCCCTCTGAGGTATCTTTGCATTATTTCACTCACAACTTTTGTTTCCTTTTGCTTCCTAACACCTAAAGCAACTCTTTGATGTCTACCTACACCCACATATGTCAGGGCACTGACTAGAAAAATGGCTAAGATTCTGAAGGACGTCCTGTGCGTGCTGACGGCTATCTGGGCAGGAGGCTGAACTTGACTTCTGAGCTTGTTCCTCCAGCCATGGCGTCCTGCGGAACCCTACACCAGGGGACCCTGTAGGCTTCACTTTGCATCAACGTCATTAGAGAAAACATGTAAGGTGTAAAACTTAGCAAACAAATTCCACTGTACTCCACACAGAGCCCATGTGTTCAGAATGATCCTGTCAAGACCTGACAAGAGAATGATGTCCCCTTCCCAGCACCTCTCACAGCACAGTCACCTAAAAGTCTCCACAGGCCGTGACCACAGGCCGCCCTGGGCTTCCATTCAGTTTCCCTTTCCGGCTGGCTTATAAGCAATGGGTAGGGGACAACGTCCTCTCAGCCACCTGTTATTCTAAGCACTGCTATCATATTGTAGGCACTTAACAAGAGTACGTACGGCTCGGCTGCAGCATTCTACTTTCTGGACTTATCCCTTGGAAATAGGTAGAGTAGTGCACAAGTGTATGTATCAGAATGTTCAGGGGCTAGGTTCCAAAAAACTTTCTGAACTAAGTGTAGATTCATGTGCAGCTGTAAGCAGTAATACCGCGGGATCCCGCACCCTTTCCCCCGGCTGACCCCAATGGTAATACATCACAAATATGTAGTACGATGTAACGACCAGGACATTGATACTGATGTCATCCACCAATTTTATTCAGATTTTCCAGAGAATCATTTTAAAAAATGAAAAAAAAAAAAAAAGGCAGAAATATCTCATATAAAAGAGACTAAATAAATTATGTCTGCTATAATTGCATCTAATGTGCTTACTAATAATGATACTGATTTATACTATTTGAGAAAGAAATTTAAGCTGAAGTACTAAGTGAAGAAGATAGGTTTAATAATGTATGCATAATGTGGGAGGAGAGCTCTTGGTGAAAGAAAGAATAAGGCTCTGTGGTCTGACTTTCAGGATGTGAATCTGAGCTCTGACCATTACTAACCTCACACTGTCTCTTCCCCACGGAAGACTGGGGTAGAAACAGCACCTGCCAGGTAAGACTGCATCGAACTTTTAGGAAGATAATCTACATAAAACACAGTAATATCAACAGTTACTTAATACAATTTAGCAGTTATAATTGAAAATCAGTAAATTACACAACCCTTAATCTGATTTTATAGAAAAAACTCAAGCCCGCCTTCTCCTTTCTTCTTATGCTAAAACATGCACTCACAACTGTGGCCTCTATAAGCTACACTAACTCAAAACTTTCAGAGCCTCTTAAAAACGAAGTTCTTTTATATTAACATTAGCAAAAAAAGAAGAGTCTAAGACATATTAGGAGGAAATGTTCCCTCTTCACCAGCAGAGAGGGACAGACATGCTTCTGCACGGAAAATCCAGCTCAAAGAATGTAAACTGAGGGGCGCCTGGGTGGTTCAGTCTTAAGTGTCCGACCCTTGGTTCTGGCTCAGGTCATGATCTCAGGGTTGTGAGATCGAGCCCCCAACAGGCTCCATGCTGGGCGCAGAGCCTGCCTGAGACTCTCCCTCTGCTCCTCCCCTGCTCACACACTCTGTCTAAAATAAATAAAATAAAACAAACTGAGGAGATGCCAAACTGAGAACACTAGCCAGTGGCCAGATCTTTTTGTTTTGTTTTGTTTTTTTTTTTCTTACAAACCCTTGTGTCGAGGGCTGACCTTCAACAGATCGCAGTGAGGGAGCTGCTCTGCTACGTACGAAACCCCGATGTGGCCAAATCTTTTATTCCATGTGATATGGAAGATTTCTGTGAACACTTTAATTTAAAAAAAATAAACAATCTCTAAACCCAATACGGGTTTGAACCCATGACTCTAAGGGTCGCATGTTCCACAAGCCAACCAGGTGCCTCTGTTGACATGAACGTTTTAAACTACTGTCTTCTTACGTTTTTCTCAAATATCCACCCATGGAAATGTTACATGCAGTTCGTATTTGTAATATCAGTGACTCCTGTCGTGCTCTTTGAAAGAAAAATTAAAATCCTAGAAAACCAAATTTTGAAAGCCTGTCTTTACTGATCATGTGTTCATGACATTAGTTTCAAATGATGTCTTTCTAATCCTTTAAGGTGTAAAAGTGTGAGAGGTTTTTGGAAAGCAAGATGCGGCCCACTGGCATGCCGCTCTCCTCTCCATGCGCACACAGGTATCACGTCACCTACAGCTAAGCTGGAGTCCTCTATAAACCAAGATTTGGAGACTGTGTGGCTCAATTATGTATCGGCAGGATCCAATGCTCTGGAGACATATATACACACACCCATGCATGGGGGGTAAGGGCTAGAAACACACATACCAAAATATTAACAGCAATTATCTCTGGATGGTATAGCTATGGGTAATTTCAAGTGTCTTCTTTACGAGCTCCTTAGGAAACAACCTTGGCTGCAGGCCTGTATTAATTCCATGATAAGAAACAGGATTTAAGATAGTCCCCAGTTTAAAACAAATCAACAAAGAAAAAATCCACAGTTATGGGGGAGTGGGTATATTGTGGTCATGAGGGTAACTGTGCGTGGATAGGCCTGTCTCCCCAACATGTCCATGTCCTAACCCTGGAGCCTGTGAACACATTACATTACATGGCAAAGGGGAATCAAGTTGCCTTCGACTCGGGGTTGCTGGTCAGCTGACCTCAAGACAGGGACGTAGCCCGGATTACGCCAGGTAGGCCCAACATAATTGCAGGGGTCCTTACAAGCGAATGAGCAGGAGAGAAGAAAGAAAGATGTGACCACCGAGGCAGGGTCAGGATCAGCGTGACTAGGTTCTAGTCTAGACAGGACTTCTGAAACATGCAGCTGTCCCCTGGGGAGACCTGGTCTTTGAAAAATGGGAGGAGCTTCATAGTAGAGAAAACTGACAAACCAC